CATAAGATAAAGAGTAATACATTGGTCGATCAATTTGACGTTTGTTTCGAGTGTGTAGTCAAGCATGTTCTAACCCGTAATATATTATACTGATCACAACGTGTATTTTAAATATATTTTTGTAAGCTGTATTTTATATACTACTATTAATTATATGTACTATAGACAGATACGACACCTCAAGGAGAAGGTGGAGAGGTTACGCTTATAATATACGTTGTGTTCGTTTTATTAGATCCAAGGAAACCTAAAAAAAGGTTTTGTTTAATCGAATACAACTAGAAATCGTAGCGGCATTTTTCAGCAGCTGAGCAGATTCGAGATACTTTTTTCAAAAATCATGAGGTGGCAATGGGCTCGATCGTCTGCTGACTTGGTGGGACAGCGCGATCCATCCACCACGAGCTCAAAGGTCAAGCCTAAAATTTAAGAGTTCGGCCGGGTGACATGAGTTTAGCTCACCAAGTAAGCCTGTAAACTTTGTGAATTCGTCTTCTTTTCTTATATACTAGTCCTATGCCCGTACAATGTATGGGTTTTGATATTTTTAAGGTAATGTTAGTGTATCAAATATTAATGAAAAGCTAAATTATTGTGAAAGTTCATTAAATTTTTATCCAACATAATAATACATGGTCATAGAACATTTAATCTATATACATGTCAATGTCTTTCCATTACAGTCCTTATAAAGAAAAACTTGACATTTGGAAAAAAAGAAGCATATAATCATAATATTCTTCAAATTTATCTTCTCTGTTTGCAATTAAGAAAGCTCAAAATCCCTTTAATGAAAGAAATAACACAATTTCAGACCAAAAAAAAAAAAAAAAACTTGTAAAACCCAGTCATAAAATGCAATTCTTCATGCTAAAGCATTTAAGTAAAATTCAGTTTACAAATAGCATAAATAAACAATAGATGACATGTAATAATCATATAGCTGAATGTACAAATGAATATGTGTGAATAAGGAGAGAAATGAGCAGCTCTATCTTGGAACTATGGGTGCCTACTAACATGTTACATCAAATACTAAAATTAGCTTAAAAATAGAAAAATATAAGAGGAAAGAAACGAGGTAGTTGACTGTAAAGTGTTCTTCAAAATATTTATAGCTATACATAATGAGGGTACAACAAATTTTCACATAATAGAAGGCACATAAATTTTAGACTCTGAAACTAAAATGAAATTTCTATAATTATATGAGGAAGCTGCGCAAATACATGTGTTGTGCAAATGGTATGTGTGTATGGGTTTCAGCTATACTTTAATTGAGGTATTTTTTCTTGCTCATGATAATACTATATACAATTAACCATGAGAGACTGGTTGTGGAAGATATAGGCTAACTAATGTGGAAAATCAAAGCCTGATAGTTTACCTTGTTTTGAGATCACGCCAACACAATGAAATTTGGTGCCACAGTCTCTCTCCTTCACAAGTAACCTATTTTGAGGCTCAATTGACTATTTCAGTTTACCACCATCTTCAATAACTTCACAATATTTCAACCCTATAAAACTAAACGCAGTTCAAACTAAATAATCAGTTCCACAAACACGGAAAAACGAAGCAACTCTTTCCATTTCAACAGTTTCGAATGGAAACAATATTAAGCAACTCATTCCATTTGAACAACTTCCATTTGAGGTGTGTTAGCTTACTTCAAGATCAAATTTGTACAAAATATTAATATGCACGTTCAACATTTCACTTATTTCCAATTTGGATCAATATAAAAATATATTTTATAAGTAAGAGAGAAGAAAAGTACCTTCAGGCTTTAGGTATCTAATTTTAGTCTTTACATCAGTATTGCATTTTATGGCTTCTGCTTCACTCTGTCGTATAAAGGAAAATTCTACCTCAAAAATTCAAAGAAGTTGAGAATTTAAGTGAGTTACTGGCAAATTATGCATTTATTTATAGTAAGAAAATTGAAATTTATTAACGAAAATACATTGTTTCAATTATTATTTCGAGTTTTAGCTTCTTCGAACAGATCTTGCAAGAAAGGTTTAGCCTCTGTTTATGAAACTCAATAATTAATAGTTTTGGGCAGCTCTTCGAGGAAAAGGGAAAAGAAAAGTGAAAAATAAAGTTTTAGGGAAGTGCCTTGGTCTTGAGGTCCTCAATCTTGTGCTCAAACTCCTCTTCATTTTCTATTGTGTAGGCCGCCGAGAGGGATTTTTCTTGTACATTGTCTTCAAGAAATAGAAAAAATTTATAGGCGTGAAAATAAAATAAATGTAAAGCATTTTCAGTTGTTGAAGTGATTATTACAGAAATTTTAAGAGTGAAATTACAAATAGCAATTTATTAAGATAATTGTTAAATGGTACATTGAATAAAAAATCCTAATTGGAAATGTAGTTTAAAACATGAACATTTAACATGTGTTTAAGAATAAAGATAATTGATTTATATGTACCTTTGTGTTTGTAAGTAAATGATTTCCTTCAGCTGTGTTGTTAAGTATGAATTGAATGTCATCATTTTTTTTACACAAATATGATTATTTAGTAGTATCAGGAACAATGAGGACGTAGAAAGTATTCATTAAAACAAATATCAACTACAATATTTCGTCTGTATAAAGTCATCATTTCTGCAGAAACTGATTCTATTGGATATTCTAAAATGAAGCATTCTATATATTTGAACAAAAAAATTCCACAGTTTGGCCTACAGAAGAAATAGTTTTACGTTAAATTAAATTAGTATCATAAATGTACAATTAAATTAAGTAGAGAACGAAATATTATAGTAAAAAATAAATAGTTTAAATACTCACCCATTATTTGCACAAGGTAGATATAGTATGATGTCTAACTCCATTAATCTATTTGTGTTTTTCCTTATATAGTTTCTGTAGGTAGAAAATTCTGGAGACATTAATAATGCTTGAGTTAAATTGACTATTGCATTCGAATGTACCCTGACTTGTTCGGCGTATGAACGTTGTGGCTATAATTGTATATTTGAAATTTCCATTTGGGGATATTCACAAGAAAGAGATACCAAGTGTTTCCTGGGAACATGGAATTAATAGATACTTGCATTTTATCCAGGACGACCAGCAACTGGCAAATTGTCATTTACGTATTCTTGTAAAATGGTTAAATTTCCTGAATCTCTACCGGCACTCCCTCCTCGAATTTCTACTTGCACCATTATTTGACGAGTACACTTGTTCTCACATTTGAAGTCTAGAATTGCATATTCTTTTGAAACATGTGTGGAATCGTCGTTGATGAGCTGTCGCAACAATTTTAACTCCAGATCAAGATTCTAATAGAATAAATAGATGTAAATTAAATATATTACCTAAGGAATTAAATGTATTATGATGAATGAATTTTACTAACTGCAGTAGTCATATCTTGTGTTGTGTCCATTATAGCTTTTATTAGGTCTCTTCCGTACAGATTGTTAGATCCATCATCCCAATATGCGCTACATAACATAATTTCATTTAGTTTGAAATAAATAAAATTAAAATAATAATATTTAAGATAATTAAGTAAAATTTGCTTCAACGCTCCTTCCTCCTCCTCCTCATCGGGCTCTGATTTTCAGAAATCGATGGGTAACAAATATTAACTGATAGCACCCTTTTGTGAAATCAGATGTGAAGAAAAGATGAGAGTAACAAAAGGGAGCTACCGCTATTTTCTAAGGAGGAGAGAGAATGATGAAATTAGGTTGAAGGCAAATCGACGGTGAAGATCGAAGAAATTCTCTGTTAGAGATATTTAGTTGATATTTGAGATGAAAAATGTATGAAATAGGCACTCCGCAGAACGAGGAGTGTGAATCGAATCACATACGATGACATAAGGAGGTAGCGGGGGCAATGCCTAAGGCGAGGATTGACCTGCCCGGTCAGGTCGCGGGGGTCGACGGGGCAGCGGCCCTAGTGAGGCTCGGGGGCAACGCTCCCAACGGAGATCGACCTGACCGGTTAGGTCGCGGGGGTCAAGGGGGCAACGTCCCTCGTTGCCTCGAAAGAAATTCTGATTTGTAAACGATTGTGATCTTTTGTAATTTTTATTAATGTTTTTGAATTAAATTACCAATAAGTGAAATTGTATTTAGTTTGTACAAAATGTAAACAAATGTTATCATCTAAAGAATAATGAAATGTTCATTTTTGGCCAAAAAAAAAAAAAAGGTCCGCGCATGCACAGAGACATCTCCACGCTATGCTGAGTGAATCTCTGTACAGTGTGGAGTGTTGTGCAGAGATGTCTCCGTGCATGCGAGAGATCATCTCTCCGCGTGCGCGCGATGAACAATCTCCGTGCTGTGAGAAGGGTCTCTCCGTGCAGCACAGAGACTTCTCCGTCCCCCCTCCACAGAGTAACCTTTCTGCGCGGTGTATGTGTTGGAATTTCAAAATAATTGTACAATCTAGATTTTTTTC